TATGAGGCCTTCACTGTGTCTACATTGGCTGATGTGATTGCCTCGGTTTTCATTAAAGAAGTTATTTGAGGGGCGCCTGGGTGGCGCAGTCGGTTAAGCGTCCGACTTCAGCCAGGTCATGATCTCGCGGTCCGTGAGTTCGAGCCCCGCGTCGGGCTCTGGGCTGATGGCTCAGAGCCTGGAGCCTGTTTCCAATTCTGTGTCTCCCTCTCTCTCTGCCCCTCACCCGTTCATGCTCTGTCTCTCTCTGTCCCAAAAAATAAATAAATGTTGAAAAAAAAAATTTAAAAGAAAAAAAAAAAAGAAGTTATTTGATTGGACACCTGGTTTCTATGGAATTCAGTCTGCCCTGCTTGACCGTAGGATACAAGGCATGTAGTCTTTTGAGTTGGAGCCAGTTGTGGAAAAATTATTAAGACATAACTGAAAAACAAAGACCAGTTACAGAAGGTCTAGACCTGGATAAACATTTCAAAATGACAAGCATTGTAAGCATCTAAGGAAAACACCTGGTGTGATGTGAGGGACTTTTTAATGACCAGGGTGTGAAGAACATTTTTTTGACTTTTCAAGGGGGCAGTATGTTTGATTTGCTTAGATTGTATATGAAAAGAGTTGTAATTGAAGTTTTATTATGTTTATTTGGAAATGGGGAAATTAGGGACTGGACTGCCTTTTTTTTTTTTTTTTTTTTTTTTTTTTTTAAATCCAGTGATCTCATTGGGTTTTATATCGATGCTACGAATGCTTATGATACATTAACATTTGTCACAGATATAGTAGGATCAGCAGTTTTCCTCAAATATTGCCCATTTTCGTGGCTGAATATAACCAGAAAATCACCTAATGGAATCCTGTAATGCTGTCTTTAATTGGAAAGGTAGGATCTTACCTTGGCAATTCTAAAAAGCATCCCTATTTGTCAGCATGGTAGCACTTATTCATGAGCTAGTATAAAGTGGATTAAAATGATCATTTACTGAGTATATTTTCCCAGTGCAGTGTTAGATGCTGTAATTTAATAATTACATAAGTGAATGCATAATGACAACTAAAGGGAATACAGTGGTATAGGAGCCCAAAACAAAGGAAGTGACATAGCCTGGTGGGTGGGGGAAGGCTCACCTCAGGAGTGGGTGCTTGAGTTAAGTAAGATTTGAAAGATAAATGTGTCTTAACTAGAGAGAGATAAAGGGTTTAATAGCATGTGCAAACTCCTGTAGGAATGAAGGAAGGTTGGCTGGAGGAAGTGTTGGGCTGGCACTCTTCTGTGCAGTGTGGAGCCTTGCACACTAAAAGAGTCTTTTGGTGTTTTTCCTTAGAGCAGCAGGAGGCCATTAATAGATTTGAAGCCAGGAAACATTACAGTTGGTTGATGGTTGTGTCCTCAAGTTGAAGCGCCGTTGGATGGGAATTTGCAGTGTGGAAAGCTATTCAGTGGGTTTTGAGGATGACTAACCAAGATGGTAGCTGGTGTGGTGAGAAATGGATGGATTTGACGTAGAATCCATAGGACTTGGGGATTGTAAGCTAGATATCACTCTCACAGAAGCGCCATTTATCTTCATGAAGTTCATGAAGTTGCTCCTAGAATATTTGTTTTTTACAGTTTCATATTTTCAAAATTTGTGAAAAAAGAGGAGTAGTTTTGTTTCTTCAAGTTTGTTTTATATAAAATGGGAAATGGTGTCAGTTCAAGTGTTTCCAGGAATAGGCATGATACTCGTATCTCATTATTGTGCGAGACATTCACGGTTAATGAACAGACTTTGAAATTTTAAAAAATTAAATGATAGAATATGAGCAGAATGCACTTTTGTAGTGTTTTGATTATGGAAGATGAGTTGCTGTGAGTCGAATCAAAATTTGTTGCACTAAGTCCTAGGAATGAGACATGGGAACTCAGAAAACCAAAAATACCCAAAGGCAAATACTTAAGGAGGATTTTAGTTGTTATGGGCTCGGGCGGGAAAAGTGATGGTCACAGTGTGCATTTAGGCAATTGGGTACACCAACGGCACATGCAGCTAAAAGGTAAAGGTCAGTGATGAGAGTTAGGAGCCTGGACCTCAGGACCAGGTAGCAAAGACTAATTCCGAAGCCTTATGACACAAGAGACACCCTTTCACTATAGCCTTATTGTTCTGTTACCTTAGCAGTATTAACTTTCTAGATCCCATCAGTATTAGGCTGTGCTTGGTTTGTTCTTGGAAAAGAAAATGGATTGTGTGTTTGTGTGTGTGTGTGTGTGTGTGTGTGTGTGTGCGCGCGCGCGCGCGTGTGCATACCTATATCCTTACGCACACATGTGTATGTCGATAAAAACCAGATTTACTGCACATGGGTTATAATAAATAAAAAAGCTACTTATTGAGACTTCTCAAATGCATAGTCAGTAGGCTCTCAAACCACAGTGGTTCTGGAGAAAAATTATGCTTTGAGATGAATGGTGGGTAAATTAAAGGGAACTGGCAGGTATTTATGAATTGGTCTTTGGTCCATCCATGCTCAGTATATTTTACTTTCTGCCAGAAAGGAACCCTGTGCTTACTGGAATATAAAATGAAAACAGCTGCCAGGTAAACTGGAAAAAGCCTCAAAAGTCAGGCTAGGTTCTGTCATTCAAAGTGGAACCGTGATCTAACGTTGTAGCAATAGCCTCTCTCCTTGGTAGGGTGGCCGAACTCTTTTGAACTTAAGGTTGCTTTGTGGCCAGGCACTCCATCACAGTGTTAAGGCACTAGGTGGAAGGGAAACTTTGCATGAGTGAGTTAGTTTTATACACTTAGTAGGGTAGTTCATATATTATTTAAGTTGGTTCCTTTCCCTGATATTTTGGTATGGACCACATATTAATGAGCACCTTCACATGTACTCTCATTTCTGGTTCTGTCCAAAGTATATGTACTTGTTTTAATATTCATCTGTTATTGATTGCCTTCAAGCTCTTCTAAGAGACTACTCACATGTCTCCTGGGATTTATATGCTTTCTGGGACCCGTTTGGGATCCTAATTCCTTGGATCCACTAGTTAGAAATATAGGTTCAGCCTCACCCAAGACCGATAGAACCGGAATCTGCATTTCAGCAAGACTCACAGGTGCTAAGATGTGCATTAAAGATTGAGAGGTACTTTTTTAGATAATGATTGCAGTAAAAAACCAGTTGAGCCTCTAGAGGCAAAATGGGGCTGAGGACTTTTAGATTCAGATCAGTTAGGTTTAATGATCAGTTCCTAGAACTAGGTATGATCAGCCCTCTGTCCGCAGCAAGTTATTTTGAACCTCATTGTCTTCATCTGTGTGTTTGTGGATAATCTTTATATAATGAGATGTGGAGAATAAGTAAGTTAATGCCAGGGCTGACATAGACTGTTCTTTTTGGTACATATGGTGTGCCTTCTTTTCTTGTGTGGCTTACTGAATAGCACTATTATTCTCACCTATACCTTTCTATTTTCTTATTCTCATTCCCAAAGTGTCTTTAATGAGTGCATCAAAGTAATTATTTACTAAATGGTACTTAGATAGACTCCGACTTCCAAAGGAGCCCATTTTACCCAAGAGTGCAGTTTGCATGCTGAAGTTAGTTCCAGCGGGTGTGAGTGGGACCAGATAGCAAAAGGCTATGGGGATTTGGTAAGGCACTGAGCACATCAGCACAATTCAGGTCTTTGTTATGACACTGCCTCTTTGGAAAACACAATATATCTTTGATTTTGCAGATTATATAACCAACAGAAACACTTCATTATTTTTATTATAGCCATGCTGAGCATGAATTAATATTCAGATGTACTCATTATATGAAAATAATGCTGTTTTTTTTAGCAGATGACTTTTAAGTTGTAACAATTGAATGTTCACTGGAAATTAATGGGCACCTGGAGGGATAGTCGGGAGGAAATTATTAAGAAATTGGACTTTGCCTGTGACTAGAGCTGTAGGCCAGTCATTAGATATTGCTTCACCATATAGGAAATAAAGCAAATGCATAGGATTATGAAGGCTTTAAATGCAGATTAGAGTTGTACTTTTCCAATTGATACAGCAGATTCTTTGGGTTAACCCAAACGGCTTGTCTTCTGCTTTTGAATTTTTTTTTTTTTTAAATTTTTTTTTTTCAACGTTTATTTATTTTTGGGACAGAGAGAGACAGAGCATGAACGGGGGAGGGGCAGAGAGAGAGGGAGACACAGAATCGGAAGCAGGCTCCAGACTCTGAGCCATCAGCCCAGAGCCCGACGTGGGGCTCGAACTCACGGACCGCGAGATCGTGACCTGGCTGAAGTCGGACGCTTAACCGACTGCGCCACCCAGGCGCCCCTGCTTTTGAATTTTTATCACAGCTCATCACCCCCCACTCTGCCATTTTTCCCGGGTGAGGGTCTTCTAGGATATACTTGTTTGTTCCTTTTCTCGGACTCTAATTAAAAGGGTCAGTGAGTATATCCTTTTACTACTCTGTTAAGTGTCTCGTTGCCTTGTGTTTGAAGCGTCAAAATGTAAGTGGTTAGACTTGTTAGGTATTTGCTACCTAGAACTTGTTAAGGTGAGATATTTTGTTTAAAAATGACAGTGGTATCAGGCACCTGGGTGGCACAGTTGGTTAAGCGTCCAACCCTTGATTTCAGCTCAGGTCATGATCTTACGGTTTGTGAGATCAAGCCCCGCATCAGGCTCTGTACCGACAGTGCAGAACTTGCTTGGAATTCTCTCTCTCTCTCTCTCTCTCTCTCTCTCTCTCTCTCTCTCTCCCCCTCTCTCTCCCCCCTCCTCTTCCTCCTCCTCCTCTACCCCACTCCCCTACTCGAGATCTCTCTCTGTCTCAAAATAAATAATCTTACAAAAATGACGATGGTATCTCCCATTTATTGTCTATTTGGTGCCTTTTGCAGGTCAGTCATGGTGTGACTCCATTACCTTATCATCTTAGAGATGCAATACTTTGTCTAGGATCTTCTAACCTGTGCATGGCAGAGCTGAGATGGGAATCCAGCCATGGCTAATTCTCAGGCCTGTGTTTCTTGCAGTCCTCATGTTGCCTACACGGAGTCGTCCCATTTACCGTCTTCCCCCTTATATAACTTGTCCTGTAAGGCTGCTTAGTTAATTGGAAGCCAGTGTTGGGTTTCACAGGACTGAACTAGTAAATCCTCTCTCTGCCCATTTCTAAGCAACCAAGGGTCCTTTCAAACGTGGACAAGTAGCCGGTGTGTGGATGAACTGGAGTGACTTTCTGGGTTGGTCCGTTCTTGACCTGTTTCCCTCTGCTGGTTTTGGAGCAATGTGTGTGCCTGCTGTTGGAACCCATGTCGTTCTTGATGATTCGTGATGTCCTAGGCATGTGTCAGGAAATTTCTTTGTAATTTGGATGATTAAAGCGGTGTGTAAGAGTGCTAACGTGGAAATTTTGTATTTTACCTTTCCTCATGTGGGTTGCCTCTGGGGATCAGCAATGAGAGTGAGAGAACTGTTGGCTGAGTTGAGCGGCTGCACCCTATTTCTCCTGCCACCCCGTTACCTTTTTTACAAGTAGACATTCTCTAGGGATTGACTCTGTGGGTCTTTTTGGCGAGTTGTTGTTCCCTTTGTCTCTGCTTTTTAACATGCACTAAAGTAATAGTGTCCAAGATCAGAGTTAGACCGCCTCGTCATGTCAGATCTCTAACTTTTTCTCCTTTTTCTCTTTTTGCAGGATGATGAAGTGGTCCTACAGTGCACCGCGACCATCCACAAAGAACAACAGAAACTGTGCTTGGCAGCAGAAGGGTTTGGCAACAGACTTTGCTTCCTGGAGTCTACTTCGAATTCCAAGGTGGGATAAAACCCTGGGAGGCTGTTCAGATGTTGGGGTTTTACTCATGGCAGTCAAGTTATTGACGGGCCCTCTGTAATTGCCTGTGGAGCAGAATAAACGAGAGGGGGTGTGGAAGATGTTTTGACTCTTCACGAAGCAAGTTTCTAGCTGGACCCCCACTCTTTGTAAGGAAGATAGGATTGTTGGCAAGAATCAGGCAAAGCCCTTGCCCCCGTCGTGGTGTTTATATCCTTGCGGACAAGTAAACAAGTAAATAAGTGGTGTGATTTCAGAACGAAGCGCTATGGAGAAAGCGGAGTGATAGGGTAGAGATTAATGGGGCAGGGACTCGCCCTTTCACAAAGGGTGTTTGGGGAAGGCTTGCTGAGGCAGTGACATTTGAGCAGTTTGGAGTGAAGTGAGAGAGTAAGCAGTACTAAGTACTCTGAAACATTCCAGAAAGAGGAACCAGGTGATGCAGGGGCCCCTGGTTAGGAAGAGGAGTTGTCACTGGGGCCCGGTCTTGGAAGGCCTTCCAGGCCACAGCCAGGAGCTGAGGTTTCTCCCTGGGATGAAGGGAGGCCATTGGAGCAGGTGAGTGATGCGGTCTGATGTAGACATTGCCAAGATCATCCTGGCTCTCGTGGGGTTTGGAGGGTGTTGAGAGAGCAAGCATGGAAGCAGGGAGATGGTTGGAAGGTGTCTGTGGAAGTCTGGACGCGAGCTGCTGGGTCTTCGGACCACAGCAATGGTGGGGGATCTGGAGGGGGAGATTGAGAACTTGCTTTCGGGACTCGCACCATGTGCTGAAAGATTAGATTGTGTCGAATGAGGGAAAGAGGAAATGAAGATGTCTCGTGGGTGGGAAGTCAACCAGAAATTGGTCAGTGTAGTCGTTTTTTGCATAGTACTTCCTGACGTCCAGAACCCTTTGACGGGCAGTCTTACTCCATTGTTGTGGTAAGAGTGTGCATGGCTGTTGCTGTCAAATTCACTGCACAGGGGAGGATTTGGAAAGCTAACAGAGGCCAGGTCCCATGCCTAAGATGCTCGCCGGGCCTTGACACAACAGTGTCAGGAACAATTCTTCCATGCTTTGACCTTGGCCATTTGACTTCAAATGCTTCATTCTTTCCTTTATACCACAGCACTTCTCTGGTAAATAATTATAGTTCTGTGAAATAATACTGAGCACTGTGTACACATGATTCATTTATAATAATAATAATAAAATACAATTATTATAATATAATTAAACTATAATTGACTTATAATAATTCAACGTTAGTAACTTTACTACCATTTTAATAGTCGGTGGCAAAACGTGATCATGATGCATTTTATAGCTCTCCATACATTTATTTACTTATTTTTAAATGTTTTTTTATTTATTTTTGAGAAAGAGAGAGTGAGCAGGGGAGGGGCGGAGAGAGAGGGAGACAGAATCCCAAGCAGGCTCCATGCTGTCAACACAGAACTGGATGCGGGGCTTGAACTCATGAACCATGACACCATGACCTGAGCTGAAACCAAGAGTTGGATGCTTAACTGACTGAGCCACCCAGGTGCCCCTGTTACTTAGATCTGTTTTAATTTTACAAGTGTTTATTCAGCATTCTCTTTGTACTAATGACTGTGACACTTGTCAGTCGTGAAAAATGTTCTTCTTAAAAAGAAAATATTAAGCATTTTAACATTTAGGATGTTCCCTGTGGTTTCTGCTATTTTGTAGTGGCTGGAACCAGGCACACCATTTAGTTAGCCGGTTCTTGATTTTTCCCTTGTGTGGAACACAGTACTGGCTATTGTTGTCTTGTTCCTTTAACGTAAGAGCTGGTTTCCAGCACTAAAAATGAATGTTTCCTACTCAGTAGTGGGCATCTCATGTGGCAGTCAGGGCACTAATCCATTTAAACTGGTTACTTCCTCGGAGGCATGCTTAACTATCTCATTGTTAACTGATGACCTAGTGAACTGACCGCCTGAACCTTTTTTTGTTGTCATTTTGTTTTATTCTTCGCTCGCTCGTGTATTTGAAAATTTGCCTGAGGGATGAGATACTGAGGTTGTTCATCAAGCATAGAATGAAGTAGCAATTGAAGTCCAATAAACCAATTTGAACTTTTTTCTTTAACTTCTTTTTGTTAAATCTTTCTTAATGTTTATTTATTTTTGACAGACAGACAGAGAGAGAGAGAGAGAGAGAGAGAGAGAGAGAGAAAGAAACAGAATGTAAGCAGGGGAGGGGCAGAGAGAGGGAGACACAGAATCTGAAGCAGGCCCAGGCTCTGAGCTGTCAGCACGGAGCCTGATGCGGGGCTCAAGCTTACACGCGGTGAGATCATGATCTGAACCAAAGTCAGATACTAAGCCAACTGAGCCACCCAGGTGCCCCTTAAGTTCTTACAACATAAGTACAGTCTTACTTGAAAACCTGCTACAATGTCAGGTTTTTGTTTTGTTTTTTTTCCCCATGTTTCCATTTGCCTTTGTTCTCGTATATCCTTCCTGTACTTTTCTGCCTGCTGAAATCCTGCTTGTCTTTCAAGAGCTATTTCAAATAGTCCTTATTCTGGGCTGCTTTTTCCCAAGTTCCTGAATTCTCTTCTCTGTGCTTCTTAAGTGCTTTGTTTATACTTCTGTTTTGTTGCCCAGTGGGATTCATTCTGTATAATATCTGCACCACTTTCTCTCCCTGACTATATCCATATGTATGTATGCTCCCAGACACATAGACCAGCTTCTGAATTCCCTGAGGACCAGAGCGTATTGATTTATTTTCTTAACTCTAACTGCTCGGTAACGAGCACAGTGCCTTGACCTAGTAAGTGATCCACAAAACTTAGTGGACCATTAAGTTTGAGGGGAGACTGCTGCTCTTAGGCCAATTATATTTTTTATAGACTTTTAACTTTCAGTAATAACGGAGTCAAAGCTCTGGATCTCCGTTCGTGTTTAAAGTATGTAAGCCTGGGTACAGATGTGGTTTGTGCAGATGTATCTGGTTTTGACTTTCATTGGTGGAAAATGGGAGATGGTCCTTTTTCCCCCTCTCGAGTTTGTTGTCTCCTCTATTGATTATAAAAGTGGAGAGAACAAAGTTATCATTGGCAGCGAGCAAGGAGTCAGTCACTGTAAATTATATATGCGTTCCTGGAAATGATCCCAGAAATGTCTTAAGCTGCAGAATCTTTTAATCAAAGACAGGGCTCTCTTTTCCAGAAGACTGTTTCATGCTGCTAGGATATCTCTCCATGCTGATTTCTGCCTGAAAGAGAACGGCTCGGAACTGCAGCATAGGTTTTCCTGAAGAGCATGCAAACGTCACATCTGACGCTACCTCAGTTTAGTCATTCCTAAATTAGAATCACGGATATTTACTGCACATTCTTTATATGAATGACTTTTCATTTTCTTTGTTTTACGATTGAGAAGTCAGGCTTTTGCTTTTAGGAACCCAGTCACTTTGAGACAGACTCACCTGCTCTCATTCAGTTTGAGGGGAAATGAGAAGCTCTCAGAGAGGCAGAGGGTTTCATCTCTGCGAGTCTTTACGTAAAAGTAGGCAGAGCTTGGAAGAGAGCAGAACTTCACGTACACACACAACACAGTGACGCGTTACTAGGTGACACGTTATCCCCACGTATGTGTTGGGACATGAATGACAGGAAGCGGAGGAAAGACAGCATCATCATCATTTCTGTCGTGTCCAAAAATCAGTTACAAGTACTCATGGAGAGTGTAGTGGGCCAGTGTGGAATCAGCAGCTGAAACCAAGAGGGAGCAAAGGAGGTATGGTAAGAATGGGTATTTCTGGAGCAATCTTGGCCCATGACTTTGGAAGCTAATCTAGTAAAACCCCTTCCAGATAGTCCTTATGTTTTTTTTTAATAAATATTTTTTTACTGTTTATTTATTTTTGAGAGACAGGGAAAGACAAGGCACAAGCAGGGAGAGGTAGAAAGAGAGGGAGACCCAGAATCCAAAGCAGGTTCCAGGCTCCAAGCTGTTCGCACAGAGCCCGATGCGGGGCTTGAACTCATGGACTGTGAGTTCATGACCTGAGCCGAAGTCGGATGCTTAACCGACTGAGCACCCGGGCACCCTCAGACAAGCCTTCCTTTGAGAATAAGCTTTTGAGAATCAAATATGGATTGAGCAGGGTGATAGGGGCAAAGAACAGACAGGGATCAGGTAAAAGGGAGGGAGGGAAACAGAGCCACCAGATCTCAGAAAAGAAAGGCTGTGTTTTAAATCCCGGGTAAAAACAGAAGAACAAGTTGCCTAGAGCCGTGCCGCTAGAGAAGCTGACCCATTCTCCTTTTGTCCAAAGAAGCTCCTTCCAGCCTTATCTGTTTTTCTGAAATGTTTTTGTTACCTGTAGACATAATTCTGCTCCTGGTTGGTGTCTCTCTTTTTATTATCTATTTATAAATATATAAAAATATTTCTATATGTTATTTATTTCATATATGCTCTTTTATATAATTATTTTTATATTTAGTATAGAAATATATGATACATTGATATATACTATATTCGTATATTTAAATATATAAATATTTACATATAAATTATTTTATATATAAATTGCATATAAATTACATTATATATACATATACGCATAAATGTATAGTGCACATATATATTATATGTGTAATTATACCATTTATGTCATGTACATAAAATTATGCTATATGTAAAACAGTTATATATACACATAATTATGTAAGTTACATGTAATTTATGTATTTATATTTATATAAAGATATATGTTATATATATTTATATACATATACATATAACTATATATAAAACCATATGTGTGTATATATACATATATAATTATGTGTAATTTATAATAATGGGTGGAGTAATCTAGTTTATATTTATTTACATAGTTATTTGAAGTTACCTTTTATACATTATATATATATACAGGTATATATGCAGATATATATATATATATATATGCTTTTATATGTTAAAGAGACAGAATAAAGAGCAGAATAATTTTA